TGTGCAATCGCACAAGCACCGCTTAGCGTGGCACCCATGCCCGCAGCCACCTTTTTATCCATTCGGTTCGGACTTAATTTCCATAAAATATAAAAGGACATTCTAAGACCATTGACATTCGTAACAAACACGATACCAATACCAAGGCATATGAAAAAGAAAGTAACAAAACTTAATGGAATGTAAGCATTGTACAGGTGCGAAACAAAACGCTGAACGCAAAACAAACATAACATAGACATGCAGCACTAAAAACTGAAATACCACTAAACTGGTTTTGACCACACAAATATCTCCCGGTTTGGTCCAAGGATTAAAACCGCAGCCAAGTAGAAATCAGTGAGTTGTTTGCTTTGCCCTTCCTCACGGGGCTCCGTCAGACAAAGTGGACCAACTTTCCACGGAGGCGCGGCACGCCTTCTCCACGGAGCGTAACAAAGTGAACGGAGATAGCGGCAAGTGCTAAACGGTGTCCGTGCCATAGGAAGCAGGCAGCGGCGGTGGCGCGCAGACCGGGCGCTCGGACTGCGGACGCGCCGTCCCGCCGTCATCTCGGTAGTGTCCGGAGCACTCAGACGGGATATACGCTGCCCCGGTACCCCACACCCGTCCCCGGGGAGCCCAGGGACTGAGGGCACGCTGTCCGGCGGTACCCTGGAAGAGCCCAGAGCGCTCGGACTGGGGACACCGGCTGTTTCAGTATCCCACTCCCGTCCCGGAGCCCCCACAGGAGCCCGGAGCGCTCAGACTGACACGGTAGCTCACAATCGTTAAGCATGCAGGCAACCAACATCGCTTAGCACACACACACACACACAGATCGGTGCAGCGGTTTAGTTATACGCTCTGAAGTCCAACAAAAAATACTGTCCTCAAGACCAGGAACCATTCGCTAGATGTAAGCCAAAAGGTTAACAGGTGACCGAGGGCTACAGAGCAGCATGTGACGTCACCGGAACACAAGTGACGTCACATGGGACAGGGGTGACGCCTGCGGGGCGCCGGGACGGTCGTGTCTCGGGCGGTCCGTCGCGGTCTGGCGCCGTTTGCGAGACGGGGCGCCGAGCCGCGCCGCCACTGGCGGTAGCGTGCCGCGTTATGTCGCCAACAACAAAACTCGTCACGCCGCGTGACCTGCAGTGTCGCACAATTGACGGACAGTCGACACACGTGCCGGGTCGCTGAAGCGCACATTGTGTCACATCGGAGACGTCATTATGCCTTCACGGCGTGTTACGTTACCGATCGGTAGGGCGGCATTAATGCCTGACGCTAACACCGAACAGCAGGAAAAGGCGAGATAAGAGAAGAATGCTGTAGGCATTTAGCGTATCAAAATTAGAAACAATTGACTGAAGGCATTTAGCGCACCACTAATTTTAGTAGAAACAAATAGCATTCATTACGACGGTCATTCCGTCTAAGGGGTTAGCGATCCGTCGTAATAGAATGATATGGTATATTACGGATCGCACGTCACCGTGAGAACCTGCCGATCACCGACCTTACCCCGTCACAGCCCACCGCCTGCTCCGGACACCGTTGTGTGACCTGTGACGCCACTCTGCGGGATACCCGCTGACCCCGTGTGTGACCCGTGTGTGACCCCGTGTGTGACCCGTGTGACCCGTGTGACCGGGCGCGGCACCTACCGAAGCCGCGCTGCTGCGGCGGCGGCCGACGGAAGACGAGCCGCGGCGGCGGCAGCCGGGGCACCGTCAGCGGCAGCGAGGGAAACCGAAAGCCGCGGTCGTGGCGCGTGCCACTGTGCCGCTTGGTTGACTCCGGAACGCAGCACGAGTAGAGCAGACTGCCGCAGCCGGGCATCAGCTTCCCTGTGAACGGAGCGGACGGGGCCGGGCGTCAGTTCCCTGTGAACGGAGCGGACGGGGCCGGGCGTCAGTTCTAGTGATGTCAATTACAGAAAATCGGAATACCGATACCAAACCAAATACCAACCAAAACCACGGGAAAATACCGAAACCAAACCAACTTGGGAAAATGAGGGAAATACCTACTTTTTACCGATTTCTTAGCCTCTTATACCTTAGTGAGGCCTTATGATACCAACACAATACCAAACACATTACGATTGAAATACCAAATACCAAGTTGGTATCGGTTTGGTATCGGTATACCAAAAAGTTGGTATCCGATTGACATCTCTAGTCAGTTCCCTGTGAACGGAGCGGGCGGGTCTCTGTGGACACTCGACAGACGGGATCGGCCGAGAGCGCTGGAGGAAGCGCGAACACAAACCTCACTGGAGACTGACAGACCGAGACTGCACGAGTGCCAGTGCTGAGTCTGCCCAGGGCGATGGGATGAGGTGCAGCTGACAGAGGCCACAGCCGGTGTCCATGAGAGCCTGTCCGGCTGACAGAGCCGCACGTGACCGGTGAGCGGAGCCGGTGAGGTGCGCCAGCTGCCGCCCACTTTCTCACCGCCCGCCGGTGGCGTCACCATGGCAGGGAGCAGCCCGAGTGGTCAGCCGGCGCCGGCCCCTGCAGCAGCCAGCCCTCCCCTCTGGCGGGCAGACACACAGAGCTACGGCACGATCCCTCTGGACTCTTCATCTATATTAACCCTCGCCGGGACAGGCCATTTTGAGTCCTTCGACGGCACAAGGGGGGGGGGGGGTTGGTACGACCCCCCCCCTCGCGTTTGGCCCCTGATTGAGCTAGAGCTTCGCGGAAAAAACGAGCGTGTTGCCCGTCACGAGAGGAAGCCGATGATACCCAATTTTAAGGTCCTAGGTCATCGGGTGACCTTCCAGGTCAGGTCAATGACCCGAAAACCGGGAAAATCGGGACCTGTTAGAAAGTCGTAAAGTGTGGCTGCTATGTGGTTTTCCGGGGTGATGATCACGAATATCGTGTTAGTTTTGATCAGAGATGATGTCTTTAAGCATTTAGACCAGGTCAGGTCAGGTCAGGTCAGGTCAACCGGTAGGGGTTGTGACGGGTATTCGTAATACGTGTCAACCGCCTCGGATAGCTTCGTAACATGTTACAAAGGCACCAAAACTACTTCGTAAATGTTCAAATGGTTGCTAAATTCGAATTCAGCTCCAAAAACTAGCCTAGAAACATGTAAAACTCGAAAAAGTGAACCGAGGTCACCCGAGGTCACCAAAGGTCAATGACCTGACCTGACCTTCAGGTGACCTTGACACCCACCCTTATGCATGGGAGCAACATCAAATCACATGTTTGAACGTTTGAAACCACGAAAAGCTTGCAAACGCGCGGCTAATGCGAGCCGACATGCGCCGAACCGCGATTTCGGCCAAACATGGTCACCGAAAAGAGGTCACAGGTCAAAGGTCATTGGGGTCAGGGTCATGAAATTTTCAAGGTAGGTGTAAAATTGATCAATGCGAGGGTACTGAAAGTTTCGTCGCAATCGGCCGCTTTTTACGCGAGTTATTCGCGAAAAACCTTAGGGGGGTTGCATCAACCCCCCCTGTGCCGGCGAGGGTTAATCTCTCCATTTGGGCAAAGAATCTGATCATTGGGAAAGGAATAAAAACAGCCTGTGATGCCATTTGAAGCATGAGTTTTAAATAACTGCGTTCATTGTCCCTTGTGTAAAATTCATCTGCCCACGCAATGCCATGACGACTGACAGCTGCGCTCTCGCCCCCGCGGTGGGCGAGAGCTGGTTTCGGCGGACTCACCTCCGGAGAATATGCAGGTGATGGAGAAAAAGCACCGGTACATCTCGCCATTGTAGAAGCAGCTGCCGGCATCCCGCCGACTCCTGTGACGATCGGCGACGTCTGTTGCCGATACTGACGCTGAAACAACACAGGTAATCAGAATGAGTGGGACATCAAACACAGGTGCTTACAGTTATCGCTGGACTTGATAACATTGCTGACTGCTAAGGACAGTAGATTGCTTCTGTATTCCAGTCTCCTACATGTCGAAACCGGTTTCGACGAGTCAATGCTAAAGATAATATCATTATGAAGCGTGTGACATTCTTCCGTGCTGTAATGAGGGTGCATAACTAAAGGAGTTAAGGGCTAAAGGCTACAATCTACATAAATGGCACAGTGAGGCGTGATACCAGCATAGATAAGTATTTAGCCTCAGCAGATCTGTACCTACCATTCACTATACATCTGCCCATGAAACGAAACAGCTCAAGCATGAGTAGGCTCTGATAAGGTTCGTCGGGCCTCTCTGAACCGTTGCGCAGTCGTGGGATGAAAGAGAAGGGAAAGCTGGAGCGCGATGAGGCGTTCTAAGGACCGTGGATCAAAGACCGACACCGGGAGCGCTCAGGCAGATCTTGGGACACACTGTATTGTTCCTCTTCCATCAAGCGCCCGAAGACGGTTTCGAAACGTATTATGCCAACACCGACACTGTGTCGCAGTTTTGGAGCTCCGATGGGATGGCGGAACACAACGGTTGACCGTTTACAGTGGACAGTTCTGCCGGAGCAGGATTATCACTATCACTGTGAGCGTCGGCGTCCAGCCACAGGCTCACAAGGCTGCCGCGCAGACCGGTGAGCTCCTGTCGCGTGCACGAGTAGGGGAAGCTTAGTGAGTTCACTCCGAGGTAGAGCTCTGACACCGTCACCATCCCGCCGCCGAGACGGGGTCTCCGCTCCATCCCACTCCGCCTGGCTCCAGTCCCGCCCCGCCTGGCTCCAGTCCCGCCCCTGGCTCCAGTCCCTCCCGCCTGGAGCCGTCTCGGCGCCGGCGCCGCGCTGCCCGGACGCGCTCGCTCGGCCTCGGCCCCGACCCCGCCGGTCGCCGCGGGTCCGGACTCCGGTTCCGGTCGCGACGGGACGTCACGCTCCAACTCTCACTTTCAGCCGTCACCGGTTCTTTGTTACAAGACATACCCACTGGCGGCAGCGGCGGGCCCGCTGTGTGCTGTGTGTAATACGGCGTGCGTTGCAACATCGGTACACATTAGTCATCATTTTTCCATTGAAATTGTCGTAGTTGGGTCATGCTTTTAACAAGAAGAACGTTCGATAGGTTCGATAGCTGACAGTCCGACAGTGAGGATAAAAAGAGATGAAGCCAAAATGCAAAACATCAATAGCTAGATGAACGTGAATGGAATAAGTGAGCTCACTTAATGCGTCTTAAACAAGATCTGAACACTACACTGGATAAGTTTCTCTCTAATCCAGACACGAGGAGATCGCTCTGAAGGTTTCACTGGAGATCGCTGCCGAATGCCGGGCCAGCGACCAGTCCTGGTCCAGGCTGGTGGAGCTGGGCCCCGGTTTTACCGGATAACAGGAAAGGGAAACGAGTCAAGCCCCCACTTCCACGAACGCACCGCGGGACTTTGAGGCCGAGCTGGCCTGAAAGAGGGCACGGCCCGTTGGAGGTTAGTAAAAGCGGATCAGCAGCAGCTTCGAAAGTATTCAAAGGTTAATGCCTAATGGGGTCCAAACGGTACTGAATTCTAAATTATCCCAGTCGATGGATGATTTAACTTGACGCACGCTGATTTTACAGTGCGGCGGAGCGCTCACGCGCCACTAATGCATCAATACAATGTGCTGGGTGACATGGATGATAAACTTTTTGCTACCCCATGACAGTTTCATACACCTCTCTTTTCAGTGCCCTAAAAATTGATCGAAGATTATTGGTTAAGGTTTCTAATGCGTAAACAAATGCCTGCAAAGCGATAAAAGGAAACTTTTCTTGTCAATACTGATTGTCAACTTTGATCGATGATCGCTGACTTAATGAAAAAAAACTGTAAAATTATAAAATAATGCAAAAAGAATTGCATGGCTACCAGCATGGTTGCGTATTCATTTTTCATATTAGACCTTGTGTTACGTCATATAAGATGTCACTGAGGTTACTTGAGGTTCGGCTGACGGAGTTTGCCGTAAATAGGTAACATCTGACAGAATTGAGTTTGCGAGTTGTAAAAGGCACCAATGAACTCAAAGTGGCCGCTGGCCAATTAGGGATCCAGTTGACTGGTTAGGGGCCTCGGTGGTCTGACTAGGGTCTCCGTTCGCTAGCTAGGTTCCAGGGTCTCGGTAGACTGGTTATAAGGTCTCAATGGGTAGACTGGTTGGACCTCAGCGGCTAGTTAGGGTTTCAGGGCATCAGCAGACTTGCTGCCCGTGTGTGTCCGTGTTCGTTGGATAGAAGAGCGCCACGAAAACAGTTACACCGAGTACCGACTGTAGCCTGTAACAATCCCGGTCCGGTCGTCTGTCACGGCCAGGAGAGTTCCTGTCCGCAGTGGTGGTCTCGGGCCGGACCATAGTGGTCTTGGACCGGACCACAGTGGTCTCGGGCCGGACCACAGTGGTCTCGGGCAGGTCCACAGTGGTCTCGGGCCGGACCACAGGCAGTGGGGCTCGGGCCGGACCACAGCATGGTGGCTCGGGCTGGACCGCGGCCTTTCACCGCTCCCCGGCGCGGCGGTGGATCGCCGGCCAGTGGGAGCCCACCACCCTCTCCGAGCCTCTGGTTTCACCCCCGGGCCTGGTGCCGGCCCGTGCGACTCTCGTGGTCTGTCCGCACTCTCCGACTGATCTCGGCCTAGCCCGCTGTGAGCGCGACTTCAAGTAACGACACTCGACACCTTGCAGTGAGCAATGGAAAGGCAAGAAAATACAGCACGTGCAAGGCAATAGACGAGACAGAAGGCGAAATCACGCACGATGATCAGTGCACTTGCAGCACACCTTCCAGGACATTGAACCGATTTAACGTATGGGTAACTTTCGTAAACAAATCAATCATTACTGAGCCTCCATTCAGGTGCGTTGATGGCATTTAGCCCTTGTTTATAACGCCATGCAAAAATAGCGCATATACATATGTACGAGTGTAGTACGGCCTACAGGGATGCGTACTCGCCCTGTGCACTGGACGTGCAGTGAACACTGTGCACCGTGCTACTGGGCGGGGCGTTCCGGTAACCTTGGTCCCAGTGCCGGCAGTGCCGGTTTCACTGCGCGGCGTCGTCTCACGCCCCCGGGGCACGCTCTCCCGCTCTCCCGCGACTCGCGGGTCGCGCGGCGGCCGGCCGACCGGTCCGGGCGAGTGCTCTCCGGCAGCGAAAGTCGCCGCACTCCGGCCGGCGCCTCTTGGGGGGGGGGGGGGGAGCACCGCAGCCAGGGAGCCCGCACGATCTCTGCGAGCATCTGCAGCGTGAGAGAACGCAGCTGCCAGCTGGATGGCGATTTTACTGGCTGTAGAAAACCACGTCTTGACGACTGTCACTGGGAAACTACTGTGACATTTTGCCTGCTGGCAATGTCATGTTGTCTTATCTTGGAGCTAATCCATAGCATAATTGCTCTTATGTTTGGCGAAGTAGGTACTTACATGAGTTGCCCTGAGGCTGTCCAGAGACCAGGTCACCGCACACAGCGAACGACAGGACCAGCCAGCATAGCTTCATCCGCATAGCGAGCCGGACGCTGCCCGCTCCTGGAACACACAGACACGGCGTCACATCAGGGGCAAAGAGGTGTACGATAGGTACCGCTCGTCTAACGCGCCAACAATGTAGGTACTCTTTTTCGTGTATTGGATGGCCCCATTCACTGGTTTGCACAGGAATTACCTACTGCATGACATCAGTTTTTGTATCGCCTCTTGTGCTTTCCTTTTCAAACTATAATGCCAACAAGATCATTAGATAGGACAGCCTAAATATCAGGATTTAATATTTTTTTGGCTTTAATCGGAGAAGCTGTGGTACAGTCGTGTACAGGTTGATGGTCCCCTACTCTTTATCCACCGGGTTCCTATGGCTCAGCATTGGCAGCAGCCGCCTGATACCGGTAGGCTGTGCCGTATGACCCGAGAGTGAAGCGGCACAGCCTACCCACACTGTATGACACCGGCTCGGGTCGCCTGGAAGGGTGATTTGACCGGACACTGCGTTACACCGGCTGGGGGGAGGGGGGGGGGGCGTAAGGGTCAGGTCTGTCTATTTGGCTCGGCTCGGTGGATGAGGCGGGCTGGAGTGTGGTGTGGGGCGGGGGTGATGTGGGGAGGGAGTGAGCGGACCTGGGGCTGGGTGTGTGTGGTCACTTGTCGCATAGAACCGATCGTAATCCACCCTCCAAAAATTCGCTTTAGAGATATTCACAAAACCCAGGGGGGTTCAAACACCCATCTCCCAAGTGGGATGCGGAAGGACAGGAAGGGTCCATACGGTCTCCTCATGAATTGCAGCAAAGAAAGAAAACAGACCTGTCACCAAATAATTTTTTCTGAAAAATGGACTAATCGCATAGCCTCGGACACAGAAATAAACATCCAGCACGCGAAGCGTCTCGAACCGGGCATCTCACTACCGGTCAGTTTGACAGTCTAGCACTCCTACGCTGAGCTACACCGGATGGTGGCCACGGCCGGGGCAAAGTCTGGCCGGGCGGGCAGCGGGGCCGGGAGGTCGGCAGCAAAGTCAACGAATGTTTTTGTGGTTTCGGGTGCCGGTCGCTCTAGCTTGGTGAAATGATGATGGATCACTGGCAAAACTTTCAACGTGGAGTCCCGGTTCGAGCCTCATCGGGGCACCGGCTACTTTTCCGAGTTAGGATCTGGTTTGATTTTAGTGGTTGCGAGCCATTTATACGGTTTTATATCTACATGTCAATTGTCGATTGATTGATTGATTCATTCATTCGTTCATTTAATACATGTCGACATTTAGCATACGAATTGACATCCAGGATCAATCCGATCAATCTACCATTTTCATAAGCGTATTGCCTAAATATCATGCATATATGTGGCACAAGACCTATGGTTGCCTCGATACCGTGCCAAATCACGTTTTGCACAATGCACAAGTAAATTATATTCGCTGGGTCTTCCGTGCATTGTGCTTAGCAAAAACAGGAATGCAATTGTTAAGCGACGCAAAATGTGCAATGCAGCAAGTGACCACACACACCCGCCCAGCCCCCATGGTCCACCAACACGCCCCACACCACTCGCCAGCCCACGCCAACCACCGAGACGAGCCCCTCCCCCCGCGCTGGTCTGACGCGACAGCTGGTCTACGAAGCGCTCCACCCGGCGACCCGAGCCGATGTCAAACGGCGTGGGTAGACTGTGCCGCTTCACTCTCGGGTCATGCGGCACAGCCTACCGGTACCAGGCGGCTGCTGCCAATGCTGAGCCATGGAACCCGGTGGATAAAGAGTAGGGGACCATCAACCTGTACACGACTGTACTAACAGCACACAGCAACAAACAAAGAATAACACAACATAATGATACAAACAAAAATAAGATATCTATCATTTTCATTTGGTTACACCGAACAACCGTGCCTACCTACTTCATGCAACTAATTATGCAGCTTGGTACGCTAACAGCTCTGCAAGATGTATACGTTTATCTAGACCATGTTTGGCATCTTCACAGCACGTCGCTTTGCATAATGCAGATGCTTATGTGCTAGAGCTATATATGCATAGCATAGAATATGCGCAATTGATGACATACTACATCAATCAAATAAATGATACCAACATCACAGTTTTTAAGGACCCAACCTTCGTCATAGTTGCTTAGCATAGTAAGAGTTGCTTAGTAATCACTGTCCTAAATGTAAAATTCCTTGCTAGCTCTGAGTGGACAAAAGGCGATCCCATACAAATCACAACATTCCTTCGATTGGATATCCGCTCGCACGGCGAGCGTAACGGTCCCTGTCTAAAGTCTCATGTCCAGCTACAAAGTCGCCTGCAATGCCGCTGATATTTTCGCGAGTTTGATACGATTGAATGTAGGGCCTCATACATGGCGCCCATCAGTGAAAGCTGGACTGGCCGTCCGGCGCGCGGCGCCGAGAGCGGTGCATGGGGTCGGGATCCCGTCCGCACGGCTGTCACGTGGTTTGTGAGCTGCGCCCACCCTCAGCACGTCACCCGGCACCGTCTCACCACGTGATCGGAGCAGCGTTCGACCGCGTCCAGCCTCGTCAGTGCCTTTGTGTATATCTCGGCATATGGTATCTCCGCTATTTCCTATTGGTGTGTCAGTGCGGGAGCTCTCAACTACATAGTATCGGACTACATCAAGATAATCAGTAATGCAGCTGCACGTTCCCTTTTACAGTGTGTTTCGCATCAGTAGCCATCGATGATAACCCCGGCTAGCAGCGACGGCGAGCGGCATGGGTGCGGCGGCAACACTGGTTGTTCGAGCGTGGGAGTCACAGCAGGCGCCGATAGCATCAGCCACCCACCCACCACGCCGAACGCCGGGTGTCACACCGTCTTTGCATTCAGTCTGGAATGTCTGCGTGCCCGACCGATAGGGCCTATCGTAGTATCTCACACAGGCGGGCACGCGCGGGTCTCACGCTCGCCGCGTGCCTCCCACCCGCTCCCGATCGTCTGGTATCGGAGACCATCGGTGATGAAGTCCAAACAGCCGAGCGCCGGTAAACAAGGCGCGCCGCCGACCTTCCAGCGGCCGGCAGGTGCCGTGTGATCCTCCCCGCGCCGTGCGGGCGCAGTTGTTTACCGGGGAAGCTCGCGGACCATTACCGCCGGAGGGACGGCCTCTCACCCCGGCCCGGGCGCCGGCGCTGCGCGGGTCAGCTTCACTTTCTGTTGGCGCAGCGGACGGGCCGGCAGACGGCGATTACCTCCGGCGACCTTGACGCAACGCGAACCGGGTCAGCGGCCGGCAGTCGGCGGCGGCACGGCGAAAGGCGCCGACTTTCTCCGCAGGCCGCAGCTCGGGCGGCCGTCCCCCGGCTCCCGGGTCAGCTCGGTAGCGGTCCAAGGCCGCCACTGACCGAGCGCCGCGGGGCGAGGGGCTGCCTGCGCCTCCGGCAGGCCGGAGGACGAGTCACCGGGGACACCGGGAAGGAGCACTAGGATAGGTCAGGTCCGAACCGAAAGAGGAAACAAGGAACGAACGGGGTCCGGCTCCACCAGATACACCAACCGAGCTCTCATGTATGTTTGGAGTGATTCTGGACCGGGTCCAAACGCTGGAAACTGGACGGACCTCCAGCCATGACGGCGCGGGCGAGAGCCGCACTGGAAATACTCGTTCGCGGTGAAACCGAGCGCCTGTCGCGCGGATGACGCCCGCCGCGCTGCGGGGCCGGGAAAGCGCCGCCGCCGCGCTGGTAGTGCCATTGTTGGCCGATCTATTGACTGGGAGTGGTCGAAGATCTTCTCCGGGAGACAGTGCAGCAGGGAGCACGGTGCAGGTTCCGCCGCCGTTCGGCTTTCTCTGCGACTGCCCGCGCGTATACGCGGCCACGTGGGAACGATGGCTGGGAGCGCCGCCGGCCTGTGAACAGCTGTGTGCACCCGACGAGCCGAGACAGTGAGCCGGGACACCCGCGGGACGGGCTGTACAGCTGCCTTATCAACCTGTGCTGATCAGATTGGATTGCATTGAGCTGACTGCTTATAGTTAATGGTATAATGAGCTTGCGTCTTGCGATCAGTAGGTAGTGTAGCAAATTACAAATAATAATATCACAATAACACATCACCTCATGTGTTTTTTGTGTGTGGAGAAATGAATGATTCCGTGAGAGTGATGGATTTGGTACAGAGCCGTGAAAAATTGTGGTCGAGCAAACACACACGCCTGACTTCTGTTGGCTGGTCCAATAAATGATACGAAGTGTAAAACATCACACATAATCATCATAAATCATCACATCACATCACATCACTCGAAACGTTATTGTTTAGCGGTGATGGCACGATGATGAATGAAAATGCATCAAATTTCAACAGTACATTTAAAATTTTGCCTATCTGGCTAGAGAATCTAAAATGCGAAAACATCATTTGTAAACCGCATTATATTGTTCACATAACAACTTCCGTTATTGAGTTAGAAACATTTTAATTTGAAAATTGCATTAGGGAAATATTCAAACCGTCTATCATAGCTGGCAGTCATGTCTCAGTGAGACCAGGGTGACTCAGATCACGATTTGCTAGCGTGTCTCATCCCAAACTTATAAATAAAAACCCGAGTCATTATGGCTATGCCAGCAAAATATGAATAAAATAAATTTATTCCGAAAAAAACGCTTTCAAACGTGACAAAGCTGCGCGCCATTTCACGGACCACAAGTTCGCAACTTTCGGATGAGAGACAAGTTTGAAACGGCACGTCAGCCGGACAATCGGCATGACGTGCCCGGTCGGGTACACCAATTATCTGCGCCCAGGGAGGCTCGGCCCAGCGGCGGGCGGCGATGATTCGGCAGCTTGTCCACTTAACGGCAGCAAACACCTGGCCGCCAGCTAACGACCGCCGCCCGGCTGGAGAGCGCCGCCGCCTTCGCCGCGCCACTCCGCACCTGCTGTCGAAAACGCTTCCGTCTCAATCGCGTCCGAGACAGGTGTCGGCTCCCGTACTGACAATGGTGGCGCGCCAGACACGCACACACTTCCTGCTACATAATAGGACGACCACCGATCACGGCGCCGATAGTGAGTGCGTGAGGGAGCGCTCGCAGTCCGCAGTTCACCGCCCGCCGTCCACTGTCCACCGTCCACTGTCCACTGTCCACTGTACATTGTCCACCGTCCACCGTCCACCGTCCACCGTCCACCGCCCAACGTCCACCGTCCACCGTCCACCGTCCACCGTCCACCGTCCACCGTCCACCGTCCAACGTCCACCGTCCACCATCCACCATCCACCGCCCGTGGGCCGCCCGTCCCCGTTTACCGTCCATCCGCCCGTGGGCCGTCCGTCCCCGTTTACCGTCCACCGTCCATCCGCCCGCCGGCCGCCGCGCGCCGGCTGACGGGTGACAGGTCGTGTCACGATCGGGGTCGCGGCGGTCACGGCTCGACTCGCCGTCAGCCAAGTCGGCGCTGACCGGCAGAGCGGCCCGGCGCGGGCTGTCTCTGACCGAGCAGGCAGTCACGATCCGCGGCTGAGCCGACGCTCCCGATCGTCGACAGGTCGGTCACGGCACAGACGCACTGCCGGGAGGAGAGGGATGCTGGGGCAGCTGGAGCTGACCTCGCCCAGCCAGCACTTCTGGACGGCCAGAGATACTGGGGCAACGGGAACTGACCTCTCGTGTGACAGCTTCGTACTTTATTATGGGTAGGCACGGCACTGGTTCAGCCTTTCTGAAACTCCCGTACGCTTTTGTTTTGAACGGATATCGGAACATTTTGCCGGGACTTATATTGGAACGCCCACCACGAACGCAGTTGTGAAACAAAACTCAACGTCACGTCAGCACAAGTATCCATGCATTTGTTTTCCTATGTGGGTAGGATGTCCTGAATTACCGAAGCAAATTAGGCATGTGCATCAAATAAACGGGGTAAGGACGTATTGTCGCTCCTAACAACAGCCCCATCGTAATCACTAGCCCTCTGGGACCACAAGCGCGCGAGGAGAGAGACACCGATCCCGACATGATTGACGCTCTCGGCTGCCAGCCCCCGGCGCACTTTCTATCCGTTCACAGGGCCGGCTATCACCGCGCCTCCACGCGTCCCGCGACATCCACCAATCAGGCGAGCCGCTAAAGAAACGATCCGCCAGATGAGATCCATAATTCATCGGGCCGCGCCCGCGCCCTGTCTCCAGTTCTTGTCAGCAGGCCGGGACACCTCCCGACGGACGGGGCGACAGGGCGAGAGGTGAGAGGATCCAGATCCAGCCACAACCCTACCTACACATAGCCCAGTCGACTACCGGCTCCGGAAGAGGAGGACTGTCAGCTCCCTCATCCACCACCAGCACTGAGGCTTCTCGGGGTGAGAGACATCTGCACCACGCATACCTGTGCATTTGAGTCTTTGATCAATATCTCCCGATGGGTCGGTTAATGAAACTGTAAAAACAAATGACGATTCAAATTAATCAATTTTCGATTCATGGAGCCAATAGATTGCATTCACATTTGATATGCCAGCTTCATGGTACATTGTCAGCTCACTTCCCTTCCGTCCCCGGCTCAGCCACCATGAGCCATTGCATTGTTTCTTTTCCCATTTCGTGACGTGCCGGTGCCGGTGCTCGTGCCCGGTGCTCGAGACTGGCTCTGCCGGCCGCCGCAGACCACAGAGATGTCCCCGGTCGTCGAGAAAGTCTGTGCCACACGCCGGACAAGGCCGCTCCCGAAAAACCACGTGTCCGAAGACAGAGCCGGCCGCCGCTTTCACGGGAGATGTGTCAACAGAGCGGCGTGAGCTCGGCGGCGAGCTCGGAGCCCGGGGCCCGGAGAGATCGGCGAGGTCCACAGCGCCGCCAGAGAGCCGGCGCACACAGCCGCTATCAGGGTTCAGAAGTGGCCAATACCCTAATTTTCGACAAATTTTAAAGCGTGATTTTCTCACATTTTCTGTTCGTAAATTGATCAGACTGTATAAAATATCATCCAGAAAAAATATTACTCATTCTGGCACAGATTGGTGGGCTCCCAAAGAACACCGTTTTGTTTTGCTCCGTGAGACCGAACTTGTGCTGCGATTTTCATGTAAATGTTGACGAGTCTCCTGTCATATTCTTTGCTTGAAAATGCGTAAGTAAGATATCAGCTGAAAGGGGAAAATGTGCGGAATCCATTGGTAACAAAAGTGCATCTAAAAAACTTCCCAATCAGTTATTATAAGCTAATTGTTGCACACTTGCACAAAGCAGAAGGGCTTGAGGATTTAAATATTTACATAGGCCTACCAAAAAACGCACAGCGTGCTTCACATCGAGACAACGTCCATAACATATACCGTACAATTGTGATTCATTTGCTGAAAAAATTAGGTCGGCATCACACTGCCAGCAAAAGTTATTGCAGTTCTAGTGACGCTAGGTCGTCACCCGGCCGACCCCGGTCAGGTCGGCCGGGCGGCGGCCGTGCAGCTGACGTCCGTGCGGTTCGGCAGCTGACCAATCAGCTGCGAGAGAGGAGCGCGGTCCGTCTAATCGCCCCCGGCAGTTGCTTGTGCTGAGGGGTGCTCGACGCTCGTGTCGATTGCATTTGTTGGTTGTCGATTGTCGAATGACTTGTGGGTATACTTTCTGGTGACCAATAAATGTACGTCGTCTTAACAGAATGTAGTCTGATCAAATTCAATAAAGTAAAAAGACATCCAGCCAACAGAATATCGTAAGAATGTCCGATATGGTTGATAACATTCAGAGTTTTGGGGAGCAGCCATCGACCAGAATGAACGTCATTGGCTTTTGTATGTAACATTTGCATTGCTTTTGGAAAGTTTCAGTCAGATATCTTCAGAAATGGCAATGTTATTGGCTTTTGCATTTTACCGTAGTCAGTTAATCACAATTTTCGATATTGCAAAGGAAATTTCAGTACGTTCTTGACATCGAAAACCAAAATGAATAGCATCATCGTGTTCCAGAGCTCAAATTGCATCCGATGCACATCTTTTTTGTTGATAATGCTCAACTTCAAAATTTGACCTTTTTGACCTCGCCGTGACCTGACCTTCATTTGTCGAATGGAAATAGTTTCGAATCGGACGACCCAGATGAAATCATTTGTAGATGCTTTTGCCGAAATGGACCATTAACCCTCGCCGGCCGAGGGGGGGGGGGCGGGTGCCGCCCCCCATAGGTTTTTTTCGCGATAGCTCCGAACACGCTGGCGATAGAGAGCTGAAACTTGGCATACCTGACCTTTGATCCAAGCCGGATCTTTTGACACCAACCGCATTTTTGGGTCAGGTCAGGTCACTGACCTATGACGTCATAAGTGAACCTCTGCACGGTCTTCAGATGTCGCAACTTCGCAACGCCCTCACTGCCAGAGGAGATGTCACAGGGAAATGAAACTTGCAGGATCTAGTATCCATTATGAGTCCCACAACTTGTATATCTCGGATTTTTCCTAAAGGTCATATGAGGTCAGGTCATTTTCGTGACCTCACCATTATAAGTCAATGGGGAAAAATTCAAACTGCTATTCTGGCGCCGGGAACGATCTCCAACTATCTCAAGCACACAGAATCGTGATTTGATGCACTCCTTGCAAGGTTAGATGCGTCACTTTTGCAATGTTGACCTTGCGTGACGTCATTTATGACGTCATCAAGGTCAAATTAGTTTTTCGTCAATAACTCTTGATCAAATTGAGCTAGCGAGTCGGGAAAGGCACCAATGGACTCAGGAAGGCCTGCCGAATCGAATGATATGCGACATGACCTCTTTTGACCAACTTCGTGACCTGGGGGTGCTGACCTGACCTTGACCTGAGGTCAAAACCCCAAGTTGACCTGACCCGGACAAAAGGTATATCATTCGACGCGCCTGAGCGAGGCGAACACAATGCTGCCAAAATCGGCGCTCTGCGGCCGTTTTTTGCGAAGTTATTCACCAAAAACTGAACCGTACCCTGGGGCACTTGACCTGACCTCAGAGGTCACCGGTTGACCTAGGACCTTAAAATCGGGTACCAATCTCTGCGTCTCGTAACGGCGCACACGCTCGTTTTTTCCGCGACGCGCTAGCTCCACCAGGGGCGAAACGGCGAGGGGGGGGTCGTACCCGCCCCCCCCCCCCCCTCGGCCGGCGCGTATGTAGAAAACCAATAGGTCCGGCGAGGGTTAAAGATGTGTCGCATGACCTTAAAAATGTATACATTTCCTTCCATGACCCTTTCCATGACCTTTTGTGACCCATGACCTTTCCATGACCTTTTGTGACAAAGTTAGGTTTCGTTTATCAGCTATTCCTATCAGAAGCCGTTTGAACTTTTAGTATTGAACGAGTAGTTTCGAAGACAGCAGGGAAGCTATGCAGAATCCCCTCCCGAGTCACCCACGTTATGGGATATACCCGTCATCCGCGGATTACAAGCAAAAATATTTTTTACGGCAATGATGTATCAGCATGGATGCTCATACGTTCCCACAGCCCCCGTTCACGAGCCTCAGAATTCCTTTACCGTGACGTCACGTGGGCGGCAAAAATCCCTTCACCCCATAACGATCCATACAAATGAGGCCGAGTTTTGAGCTGGGCTGACGCCCAAGTTGAGGGCTAAAATTTTATAAAAAGCATACCATTTGACTCAGTAAGGCTTGATTTTTCCAAAACCGGGCCTCAATAGGTCGAATTCAAATGAACCAAGCATTAATTTTGCCTTTTAGATGAGGCCTGCAAATTTCGATGAAGTTTTTTCTCGTGAAGGAAAAAAAATAGTGCTACCAAATGCGTCTTGCGCCGCTTTTGCAAAAGTTAGATACTAACGCCATTTTCTATCAATAATATGCAAATTTATTATGATTTTGGCCAAATCGAATGGCAAACATTCACTTAACAATAGCAAGACTTCTATGAGGTGCATTGTTTTGGCGAGTGATCTATAGTATGCTTCAAAAATACCACTGGAACTTGGTATGCATCATACTGCACTAC